ACAATATAACAATGTGACGGTGTTACAGTACAACAATGTAACTATATGATGACGTAACAGTACAACAATGTAAAAATGTGACGATGTAACAGTACAACAATGTAACATTGTGACGATGTAACAGTACAACAATGTAACATTGTGACGATGTAACAGTACAACAATGTAAAAATGTGACTATGTAAAAGTACAACAATGTAACAATGTGAATGTGATGATGTAACAGTACAACAATGTAACAAAGTGATGATGTAACAGAACAACATTATAACAATGTGATGCTGTAACGGTGTAACAATGTAACAAAGTGATGATGTAACAGAACAACATTATAACAATGTGATGCTGTAACAGTGTAACAATGTAACAAAGTGATGATGTAACAGAACAACATTATAACAATGTGATGCTGTAACAGTGTAACAATGTAACAAAGTGATGATGTAACAGTACAACAATATAAAAATGTGATGATGTAACAGTACAACAATATAACAATATGATGACGTAACAGTACAACAATATAACAATGTAATGACGTAACAGTACAACAATATAACAATGTAATGACGTAACAGTACAACAATATAACAATGTAATGACGTAACAGTACAACAATATAACAATGTAATGACGTAACAGTACAACAATATAACAATGTAATGACGTAACAGTACAACAATATAACAATGTAATGACGTAACAGTACAACAATATAACAATGTAATGACGTAACAGTACAACAATATAACAATGTAATGACGTAACAGTACAACAATATAACAATGTAATGACGTAACAGTACAACAATATAACAATGTAATGACGTAACAGTACAACAATATAACAATGTAATGACGTAACAGTACAACAATATAACAATGTAATGACGTAACAGTACAACAATATAACAATGTAATGACGTAACAGTACAACAATATAACAATGTGACGGTGTTACAGTGTAACAAAGTGATGATGTAACAGTACAACATTATAACAATGTGATGCTGTAACGGTGTAACAATGTAACAAAGTGATGATGTAACAGTACAACAATGTAACAAAGTGATGATGTAACAGAACAACATTATAACAATGTGATGCTGTAACGGTGTAACAATGTAACAAAGTGATGATGTAACAGCACAACAATGTAACAAAGTGATGATGTAACAGTACAACAATATAACGAAGTGATGATGTAACAGTCCAACAATGTAACAAAGTGATGATGTAACAGTACAACATTATAACAATGTGATGCTGTAACGGTGTAACAATGTAACAAAGTGATGATGTAACAGAACAACATTATAACAATGTGATGCTGTAACAGTGTAACAATGTAACAAAGTGATGATGTAACAGAACAACATTATAACAATGTGATGCTGTAACGGTGTAACAATGTAACAAAGTGATGATGTAACAGTACAACATTATAACAATGTGATGATGTAACAGTGTAACAATGTAACTAAGTGATGATGTAACAGTACAACAATGTAACAAAGTGATGATGTAACAGTACAACATTATAACAATGTGATGATGTAACAGTGTAACAATGTAACAAAGTGATGATGTAACAGTACAACATTATAACAATGTGATGCTGTAACAGTGTAACAATGTAACAAAGTGATGATGTAACAGTACAACATTATAACAATGTGATGCTGTAACAGTGTAACAATGTAACAAAGTGATGATGTAACAGTACAACAATATAAAAATGTGATGATGTAACAGTACAACAATATAACGATGTGATGATGTAACAGTACAACAATATAACAATATGATGACGTAACAGTACAACAATATAACAATGTGACGATGTAACAGTGCAACAATGTAACAATGTGACGATGTAACAGTGTAACAATGTAACAATGTGACGGTGTTACAGTGTAACAATGTAAGAAAGTGATGATGTAACAGTACAACAATATAACGATGTGATGATGTAACAGTACAACAATATAACAATATGATGACGTAACAGTACAACAATATAACAATGTAATGACGTAACAGTACAACAATATAACAATGTGACGGTGTTACAGTGTAACAATGTAAGAAAGTGATGATGTAACAGTACAACAATATAACAATATGATGACGTAACAGTACAACAATATAACAATGTAATGACGTAACAGTACAACAATATAACAATGTGACGATGTAACGGTACAACAATATAACAATGTGACGATGTAACAGTATAACAATGTAACAATGTGACGATGTAACAGTACAACAATGTAAAAATGTGACGATGTAAAAGTACAACAATGTAACAATGTGAATGTGATGATGTAACAGTACAACAATGTAACAATGTGACGGTGTTACAGTACAACAATGTAACTATGTGACGTTTTAGCAGTAAAATAATGTTACACTTTCTGCTTCCCCTTGCGTCTTCAAAAGCCACTGTTACACATATATACCCTATCATTTGACATGCATAACTCATCGATTTTTGTATTTGTTCATCACTCATCGTTTTCATCAACTGACGATTATCATTTGTTAGGAAATCTTCTGTTCTGTCATCAATTCGAGATGCTTCATATGCAATTTTATTCCAGCACCACAGTGTTGCCAACAGTCCTATGGGAGTAAAAACGACCCACGCTGGCCATTTGAGAGAGAAGAGACACACAACAGTGATATATCTTGTTAAATTCAATTGTTGTGTACAGTATGGGTTGGCATCGTCTAGGGACCCATTCAAAATATAACCGCCTAATAAAACTTTAACTAGTTTCAATTATTCTCATTCGCATTAACTATCCATTAGTTGTTCGTCACGCGCGTAGGATGAGGGAGTGGGGTGTCTATTCACAAAAGGGAGTTATCGCTATGTTGTACCATAGGTATCATACCAAGATTGATTTTTCATATTCATACCAAATCTGGATGGACAATTTATCGACTATTAAAAGTCACAAACACTTTCGGGAGCCGCGATGGCCGAGTAGCTAAGGCGTGTCTGGCCGTCTACTATCACAAGCCCTCAACCGCTGGTTACGAGGCCTACCTACGGGGAGTCGCCATGTACTTCCGCAGGTCATTGATTTTTTTTCGGGTACTCCAGCTTTCCTCCACCACCATAACTTGACTCGTCCCTAATTAAAATAACATTGCTCTAAAAGGACGTGAAACGCAAAAAAAAAAAAAAAAAAAAAAAAAAACCCAACACTTTCATGAATTCGTTTTATTAGCCTAAAAGATAGCTTTCCTTCAAATATGAAAACGTTTGTCAGTTCCACACTCAATTACCGATATCACATACTTTTGTGGAAGTCTTTCAGTGTTTGAAGGTGTCATATCGCTACTTCTCTTTCATTCGTCAGATTTGCATAATACTGTCTTTTCTTTTCCATCGGTTTCGCTAATCATATATGCAGACCAAGTTTGATACCAGTATTAGGCAAGGTGATCTAGGATGGCTGTAAGCAGTAACGAGGGAGTTCCTGCCTGGTCAGACATTTACATTGATAACATTTACTTGTTCTATTATAATTGGAGGGAAACTTCAGTTAAAGTGGAAACGTTTCAACTTTTAACAATTCTTAAGATATGGAACATTTCGTTTTGACAATACCGTATACCATATTATTATTATAGTGATATAGTTTGTCAAGTTGCCGGGGACAGCCAGTTTCGCGCTTATGTCTATGTATAATTAAGTACGTAGAGAGAAAGAAAATGGCGAGTGAAACCCTCTCATTGAGAAGTGCCTTTTGATGTTAAGTTGACTTTCATTATTCTCTACACTGATTGATGAATAACATCCATGTATATCCCACACTTTTGTTTCCAGTTAAGAATAGCATCAATCAGACAAATGCACTATCTGAAATGTTTATACTAATTCTTATCAAAGCAATACATTTTCCTGTTAATGGTTCCTGAATTTCATTATTTTATTTGTACTATTTCTCGATATTTATTTTTTGATGTAAAGGTAGCACAATTCTATTGAATACTTCTCTTTAACCAGGTAACGTGCTGAAATGGTACTTCGACTACATAAGTTGTATCAGTGATATATGGACAAGCTTAACCTATGTGTACGCATACAGATATATCGATCTTCTGTATATTCTACAATGAATTTAACAGTAGTTTCAATTTTTAACATAAAGCGGTAAACTTGAAGAGGCCTTGCGGAAATCTTGTACTGAACGAAGGGGAATAACTCGTACTTTCTTGTTATTGAGATTTTGTATGCCATACTACAATTAATTTGTTCAGTCATCTTACATCTCAGATTTTAGTGTATTGCAAGTACGGATATATTTCACGAGTGCTTTGTGTTTTTGTTTTGTTTTTTTGTTTACAATTAGTACTGTTATTCTATTTGATATTCCTTGTGTTTCATTAGCTCCATTAGGCCGGTGTCACTGCTAGTGGACCAAACAAACTGTCCGTCAATTAAATTAACATAAACTTGTGCAAATGGATAAAAAGTGTTCTTGTAAATAAAACTTGATCAGTTTAAACTTATATATTTTTGCTGACCTTCTTTGGTATTTGGTTCTTATGCCGCTGGCTCACACTGCCAGCGGCCCAAGTTGCAAGGATTCGATTGAAATGAAGCACCGATTCGGAAAAAAATATTGTTTCTGAATGGAAAAAGCCAAACATTTATTTTGCTGAACAATTTCGTTCATTCAGGACTTATCAGTAGTATTTAAATTATTAAGAATGAAAACTTTCATGTCTAAACTGTGTCGAAACATGTAACTACTGCGAGAAGGGGAAAGTCGCATACAAAAACTATAATGTTATATATTTGCAATGTTTGACTACAGCAGATAATTTGCACTAATACGAGTAATTCGCGTAAGCTTTACCAGAATAAATACCACCTTCAAGCTAGACTATCGACAAACTCGAAGTCTGAAAGTCCATCAACAGAGTCGACCATTTTATTACGTCAACTAATCAATAGAAACTCAAAGAAGTGAACCACGTATTAAATAACTTATTTAATGTCTTTTTGTAAAATTTACAGGGGGAAAATATCAGAATGAACGGCTACTGTAATGACATCATGGACTTTTCTGTCAAAGCATTCCTGTCTTTTTATCACGGAAGCTGGAACGCATGGATGATCTCCCCTGCATGTGGCTGGTCAACAGTGGCGACCCCTGGTAGCTTCTGAGTAATATACTAGAACTGGCGTGGTAGTTCCGAGTGAAACACTTCATGTGACGTATACAAGGTAATACAAAACGAGGCTCGGCTGGTATGTCAGAGAACCCTCCTGTTGAAAAAAAACAAACAAGTGCTAAGTCCTCAGTGACAATTTATATACATGTACATGTATGAGAATCTTCAATTAGGAATGTTTTGACTTTTCAAGCCTGTCATGCTCCGAAGGCAGAACAAACACGTACAGTCACAAGATTGATAGACATTTTCAGAGTTATGTTATTTAAAAAGAATTTCGTTAATGTACAAAAGAATTATCAGGTAGATTACATTAGTGGGGTAAATATGTATATGTTTTTGTAAAATCTCGATGTTTTAAAGTCAGCATTTAATTAACTATCAGAATTGTTTATACACATGCACATTTTCTAGATGTAAATTCTGGTCAATTTCAGGTAAATCTTTTGTGACAATTTTCTTGAAAAGAGAAAAAAAAAGAGTCGATTTCAGGTGAAAGTTGATCTGAATTTGACCTTAAAAAAATATTAATGTCAATTTCAGGTAAATTTCACGTCAAATTTACCTGAGTTTACATATTAAAATAAGGCATACTGATGCATCGGTTTTTCTCTTTTATATTTAAATATTTGCAAATTGGCCGAAAGAGAACGCATAAAACCGTTAACGTGACTCATGAATATTTTGGACTCAAAACTGAACCTAAACTCAGAATGTTCCAAGAAAGATAACTCGCACTTACAGCGACAATGCTGAAGCAGGACGCAGGCAGAAGGATTGGGTCGATCGAGGGAATCCGTACAAGTAATTTTAAACTAAATTTAAATGGAGGAGCTATTTATAAATTGGGCCTGGATATTTAAATGAGTATGTCGTGCTAAAAGTTATTCCAGTTATTTATTTGTTTTGACTTTCTGTGATTTTTACTGCAGCGTTGACAACCGTTCTAAAGAAATACTTTACGGAGCAATGTAAGATGAACTCATGAGTGCGATACTTGATACATTATTATGTCGGTTTGAACATAATTATACGCTTTCTTACTTTCCGATAATGAAATGTGCCATATTATTTTTTTCTTCTTTATATTACCTTTCTTATAACCTCCTGAATGAAGTTTAAAGACAGATTTCTGGTACAGGATTTCGTGAACTCTTCACCTCAAAGCATCATAATTGTTATGTATAAAAACGTTTTTCTTATTGTAACGACACTACAGTTCATATATTAGCTTTGAAGTTATAAAATAAACCAATGCGTTCGTTGATATCTTAGCGTTGCTGATCCACAACCTTACCCTTGTCTGTTATATGGAAAGTAATTGTAGTTGATAGTCATTAGTCCCCAAATAAGCGTTGCTATAGCGAGTATATATTCGCGAGTGATTTAGCTTCGTTATATTAGAGATGATCAAAAACACGATTAGCAATTCTTTACTCCGATGACCTAATCGAAAATTAGAGCGAGATAAAAAGAGCGAAATATATCACCGCGAAGTTTTTACCTCGTAAAATGAATGTCATTTTCTCTATGTGTTAATATTATTTACCTGTTACTATTATGGTCAGTAGTCCTATTGTTAACGTTGATTTTCCTGTTTATATTGTGGTCAGTACATGTAGTTATATTTCTAACGCTGATATTATTTACCTGTTACTATTATGGTCAGTAGTCCTATTGTTAGCGTTGATTTACCTGTTTATATTGTGGTCAGTACATGTAGTTATATCTTTAACGCTGACATTATTTACCTGTAAATATGATGGCCAGTTGTCCTATTGTCTACGTTGATACAACTTACCTGTAATTAGTGTGGTCAATAACCCTATTATGAACGCTGATACAACTCCTATTAAATGATACCATAAAAAGGACACCCGGAAAAGCCACATCCTGCAAATATATAATTGATATAAACATAGTCATAGGTTGTTGCTTTTATAAATCAGAAAATTCCCAAAAAGGAGCGGGCAGGTACATGATAATGTAAATTACTGCCGAGAAAAGGAACGATAACCTTAAGTGTATTAAAAGTCGTTAGGTTTGTCGCAGAGGTTCGTAGTGAGATGACCATTGTTGTCATATACAAATGTAGGTAAATGTCAATTATATCAATGCATACTGTTACTTAAGCTTATTACATCACAGCCTCAATAATCTTGCAATGCTCAGCGCAATAATTTTGACAAACACATACAGGAAAAAAGGTCAATATGTCACCATAAACACTGTCTGGACAGTGAGACGATCAGATTAGTGGCGACTGGATTAATGATTTCATAGAAAAAAAATCAAGATAGCTTATTTAAACTCCTACCAGAAATAATTGAAAATTAAAATATTTTCTAAAATTCATTTTGTTCAATCGCGCTGTTCAACAATGTCACATTAATAAGTTTACCCCGTGATGTCGAAGTATGGACTTTCCCCATCTTCCATACTAGCAGAAACATTGTAGTAAGGCGTTGCTTGGTATATTTCTGTGTAGTTATACCCTTCTGTATTGGTGTTTGTATACACAGAAAGAGAATGATTAGCAGAAGAATTAACGTAACATCCGGAAATCGGGACTTTCGGTAACATTGAATTATGGGAAGGCGTTGGAGCAAAATTGGCACCAACTGTCATGGTAACACACAAACAAAAGGACAGGAATCCGCCGACAATGGCACTCTGAAAATCAATTATAATATATTTGTGAATATAAAATATTAACAAATCAAAAGTAGTTCATATCCGTGTTTAGATCGAATCCGGTATAATTTTAAGGTATTCAAATTAATTAAGTAATCGGAAAACGGAACAAGAGGCCACCGTGCTTGGTTTTAACTCTTGTAAAACCGTAATTTTATTATAAAAATAATCTGGGAATTGTCTAAGTATTTCAAGATGCTGGCTTTAAAGATTTACAATATTTATACAGACTCAGCAAGAAAGACCTTTAGGGTCCGTATTCAAAATACCGTTCTCATGCTGAAACATGGGTTTTGTACTAAAGCGTAATGTTTTGTTTACGGTTTTAAATTAATAGCAAAATATGATCTGAGCGAGTAACAGGAAAACTGGTCTGATGAACGTTTTCATGAATACGGGCCCGGTAATCCTCAATTAGAACCAACGAGAACGACAGAAGCAAGCAAGAAATTATAGCAGTTAACTTGTTCTTGGCATCTGTTTGTTAATTGCATAACCGCATACTAATAACAAAGTCTTACTGCATACTTCCCACCTCTCACAATGGAAAACTGTGGGCAAGAAATCACTTGCTACCACAGTCCACTGCACACATAATCCCCTTTCATGGCCAATCATGATTACATGACCATGAAAAGGGGTGTGCCCAGTGGACTGTGGTCACAAATGCTATAAGAAAGGGGAGATAATCAATTAGAAGGTAACGATGAAGTCAATACAGTGGAAAGGATAAACTTAATTGACACATTTAAAATATGAAAAATAACAAAAATAAAGTTAAAAATGGTAATTTCATGATTGAAAAACAAACAAACAAAACGACTGAGTTGGCAGCGTTATTGATTTCCTTATCACGTGACAGGATAAGCATTTCCTGGAAAAGTTTATAAACTTTAGGAGCTGTTTCTTTATACAAAATTGTACATTCAAATATACCATTCATTGAAAGAAATGGAATTCCTTAGGGATTGATAAACCCTTACATTGTATGTATGAAAATGGTTTCAATATCCTGTACCTTTGCCACATCTTGAAAATTAAACTGAAAATGTAGTCAGAAATTCAACGTTGTTTCCCGTATTTTGTTCTAATTGTTGAACAGACACTCCTTACCTTCCCTGACACTGGAGGTGGATAGTAATCCAAAAACACTTGTATCCATTATGAAGGATACACTCAGACTGGGCTATTGAGAATAAAGACAAACTTACCTGGTTCTGATTAGTACTCACTCACACAGGTACATGTAAATTATCTGCAGTGTAGGGTAGGTAAAAAGATTGTCCAGGTGAACATTTTTTACTCATGCAATTTTTCTGTTTTGTTCGAGTTGGGAAGCATGCAGTAAGCCAGTTATTGCATGATTTCTCGTCACTCGGGACTTATTACACCCTCGCTTCGCTCAGGTGTAATAAATCCCTTGTTACTGGAAAACCATGCAATAACCTTTACAAGTCGGATAAATATTTTGGAGATGAGAATTATTTCATACCTTTGCATTCGCCCATGGCAGAATCATACCGAGGAGAAAAACACCAAGTAATGGTCCGGAAGTGGCAGACAACGTACCAATGGTAATCTACGGAACAAAAACACTCGGGAATATACTACCTAACTGTCACACGTATTGTCCCTTCAACACTAAGAAACCTATAATAATCACTGGGAATATTAAGTAAGGAATCATCTATTAAAACATAAGTAATACGGTGCGGACAACCAAACAAAGGAAGTATTTTTATGGTGCAATTCCGTCTTTGCGTATTGCAGAGTTATCTTCTCTTGGGAGCAGGTGTTGATTGTTACGTCATTGGTTTGTGTGAGAAAATTACGTCGTTTTCTCAAAAATTGGTGACGTTACTCTCACAAACAAATGACGTGACAATCAATACCTGCTCCCAAGAGAAGATAACTCTGCAATACGCAAAGACGGAATATGACCATTTTATACATTGAGAACTCATCAAACAATGCCTCACGTTTGGCCTTTAGTTGAACGTTCGCCCCTGTGCGGAAGGCTTTGGGTTCTGTCCCCTGGTCGAGACATTCCAGAGTCTGTAAAAAATGGTAGTTTCTACTCCTGCTGCTAAGTCCGTTGTTTTACTTATATTCCAATACTATGCTTTACAGAGATCAATCAATGTATGTTTCGATTAATAAATTTCTGAACTACAATTAACGTCTTTAAGTATTAACTGTCGTATCTTAACCTCGTTTTACTGTTAACAGATAAGTACAATGCTATCTAAATACGTGCCTGCGTGATAGTGCCTTTAAGATTCATGGCTAGAAAGGCCAGACCAACTGTTGCTACCCCCGTACAAACAACTGTAATGTACAAACATATATATTGTTAAACATGAATTTAATTGTCGATCTGAAATGTTTTGTCTTCAATAGAAAAAAACAACGACTAAAGGCATATAGAAAATATCAGTATTGAAACTAAACGAACGTTACAATTATACAAATGATAGTACCTGAATGCACTTCTTTTTCTAAACCATTTCGTGGATTAAAATTAGAATTAGGGCGAGTATTCGTTTTCTAATTAGAATTTCCTGGCAGATCTGCATGTAAGCATAGGATACTATACTGCCGTTTTGATTCGTTTTTTGCTTTACAATTTACAGTCTTCTTTTTAAAAATGCTATCTTATCATTATTGTGTCTTTGTGGATCATCATCGAAATTATATTGATGGAAATCTCAGTCACTTGAACGGATACAAAAGTCAAACTCAATTGGAACGTTAGAAACCAAATTAACAATACTATATTCAGTAATCAACGAAAGAAAAATATATTTAAAACAACATATCTGTTGTTGTCAGTAGACAATGTCAATAGTCTATGACTGAAATATATATTTTGCAGTTTTTGGAAAACAACTGTTTTCACTAATCTCCATTTTCCGATTGGCTTTTGAAAAAACTCCAGTAAATGATGTCTCAATATGTAAATAGTCTGATGAAGGATGCTACACGTGGAATGAGTTACAACGATTGTTAAATCGCACAGTTGTGCGCACCATGTGTGGACGATGTGCGGACGGTGTGTGAACGATGTGTGTACGTTGTATGTACCTGTGACCTTTGTGACGAACGTGCCCCTGACTTCACTGGTCCGTGACAGGGTCGGGTCAACCATGTCTTCCCATATCAGAGCAGACACGGCACTCAGACCCGAGGATAGGGTACTGTGAAAATGCATTTTTAATTTTATTAAGAAAAAAAAACAATGTATGAATTGCTTAATTTGCTCATGTGTGTGTATTACCTCTACCCACATTAGTTTAGAGCTATGTGAAACCCGTGGCTTCAACGTTCTCGAAATATCGTTTCGACACTTGACTCTCTGCCAGATTATGACATATTATTCACCTCATCTGTATAACAGCAATTGGATTATATCGATAACAGAATGGGAAATAAAACATCATGTTCCCCTTACGCGCTCGAGTTTACCGGTCATATTTCCCTTATCCGTAGCCTTTCTAGAAAAATGAGTAAGAGGCAGCATAGCGAGTGAATGCAGTAGACAGCAACGATGGCGTGGAAACGTGATTTTATTTTTGCTTCAATTTCGCCCACATGAAACAAAATTAATCTCGGGTAAAAAAATAACTTAATCGTGTTTCCCTATACCGCTTAGGCAATCCTTGTTTTATTATACCAAAATAGAAAAATAACAAAATAATTGCATCATATACAATCATTCACTGGTATGTGTCTGTGGCGTCACAGTGAGAGCGTTCTGTCTACGAGACTGATGCATTCTGCATGTGTAGGATTTTAGCCGTTAAAATGGTCTCGGTAGATAACAGATGTTGATAAAGATATCCGATTCTCATTTTGCTTTGCGTAGATAATGTCATTCAATTCAACAGCAGAAAGTGCATTTGAGAAGTAGAAGTTTGGAATCAACGTTAGACATTCAAACTTGTTTGCCCTACTGTTCAAGAACAGGGACCAGACCAGAAAACATGGGTTTTCATTTGTTTTTCAAGTTGGGAACCATTTATCAGAGACTGGTTATGGACATTTTAAGGACACTTGTTTTGCCGATCTGATACATAAACATTTAACTATTTAAAGACTTGTTAGATACCATAAGATGATATTTAAATATACATATTGATAAAATAATTATAGTAATTATAATTTTAACTTAATTTGATTTAAATAAACATTATCTTAATAATAATAATTTATTTTATGCAAGTGTCACTTATTGATCTACATACAAAACAAGTAAAATGTACATTAAAACCAGATCAATATATCCAGCCAAAGTTAAATGAGACACTATAACACAGTATCATATATTAGAATAGAGCGTCACTATTTATACATGTAGCTAAGGGACTATCGTACAACTGCAAAATTGATAAAATAGCTGCTCCACCGTATCCGATTATGCGGGTTATATGTTCTCGTTTTGCTAAAACGTGTAAAAATGGCATTGTTCAATTTAAGACTACGTGTAGTTTTGTTTGAATCAAGTTTTCATCATCGCCGGTTTCGAGGTTAACAATATCGTTTATGGGAAATTATTCGGGTACGAAATTCCTAAACGGAACAAAATCATTTTTTTTTCTTTTTTACAAAACGTAAAAACTTTGATATCACATATTTCCAAATTGATGAATCTTATTGAAGCTCGTGATATAGCCCTTACCCGGGCGGTTGTGGGATAACACTTCTTGTGAGTTTTGAAGAAGTATGAAGATAACCAGTAAATGAATAAAAAATAATAGGATACATGTTGCAATTATACAAGTAATAAATACCTGTATAAGGAAACACACTACATGTGGAAAAAAACGTATTTATTTTATAATTTATATCTAAGATCTTTAATATTAATAAATTATCGCTCTAGTATCTGTACAATTCTTAAAACCTAACAATGCTTTGATTAGGATGTTCCAGTGGAAACAGGAAAGAAAAAACATCACGAATGTGTAGGTAAATCAAGCTGTTAACTGATTTCCACAAAATAACGATCAGTTTCAAAATTGCAAACAAAACGCAGACTGAGTCAGGAAGTGTTAATGTATCACGGTTTACAAACCTCAACGTAGCACTAAAAAGGCAGGCCATAAAAAGACCAACAAATCCCGGAACGACAGACATTTGCTCCGTGACGAAATATGGTACAAGCTGAAACAAAAATAAAATGGATTGAAATGTGACATTATCAGGAAATCAATAGCAAAACAGAGAGAAAACAAATCACGCACGTCAAGAACTGATGAAAAATAAAAACTGAAAGTATACGGGCAATTTCGCTAGCAGGGAGTATTATAACCGACATTACTCCCACGGAAAACTACAAGTATAGACACAAACATATGTTTCGTAACTTCTATAGCTGAAAAGGAATGTGGATGGTTTTATTTTGTGAAATTGAGAAGAAGAAAGGCAGAAGAAATATAAAACATGATATCAGCCACATGCTTATTGTCTAGCCTGACATATGATTGGTACTTTCACAAGACATATAAATAAAAATAAAATAATGATAACTGAAGACCAAATATAGACATACGTATTAATATTATATTTTTATAGTAGTTCCACTGATATACATGTAACTAATGAAGATCAATGGGACTCGAACCCTGGATTGTAGACACGACCGATAACGGAACGGAACTCAAATTCACTTCCTTGAACTATTATGGCCACTATTTTGTTTCAGAGGTGTCACGTGTTCTGTGTTCCTTTCGTTTGTAAATGTTACTATCCTTTCTTTTATTCCTTTGTGTCTCGACTTTGCTTTTTTCTCTTTGTTTTTTTTCTCTGTCTTTTCGGTGACATATGTGGTAATGCCTCTACACTATACACTGTTCACAGTGTATTTCGCAAATACGTCAATGCATAGACATTTTTCTTACTCACAGAGTGTTACAGTTTATGAAGTGTATTTAATAGGTGTATGACTCCTATTGTTATTTTGAAAGTCCTAGTACTTTCAAGTTTAATACATTATTTAATTATGTCAATAATGAAGAATTAATTTCACTTATAAAATTCCTTAAGCCACATAATTGAGCGAATTAACACTGTCCAGTAACACCATGATTTGTATGTAAACTGTACTATATATATGTATATAGTTATCTACACTGTAACCAGTTTGCGAGAATAAAAACTTATCATTGTCATTGTTATTGTGACGTCACAAGAAACAATATGATGACGTCACATTTTGCAAAAATTGGCCAAACTGGTCATGTTCAATCTTATTTTTTTTAAATGGGCTTAACGTTGATTTCAAGTAGAGTTTGTACACTGCTATATACTTATATAATTTTAATGTACTTCAATTAATAAATGAGAGAATGAATGAGTGCCCCGATACTGACGGAAATTAATGTTATAGATATAATTCTATTTTACAGACATTTCTCCATACTTTTAACACTAGTACAAACTGACATTAACTGGGAATATACTAATAAGTATCAGAAACAGAAGAAACAAATACCTGATTAGAACTTTGAATATATCCTGCACGTGTAGGATCGCATGCCTGGTTGTAATAGAAGGCGAATAGGACCAGTCCAAGTAATGCCATAAGGGTTTCCAGGATTACCGCGGCGGGCAGATTGGTCAAGACCGCTCTTAAGAGACAAAGTACGTTAAACCGTAAGTTCTCATGACACAGCAAATACTGCATAAAAGCCAGAACAAATGATTACCAATTACACGTCAAACGCCTTATTTCAGGCATGCAGTTTATCTAGAGATATTGAATTTACTTAGTAGATTGATTTACGTTTTCTATGTTTAGATCAGCGGGTCACTGCATGTGTCTGGGAGAAGTCTGGTGAATGACGGCCCAGACAATTCGATTTTTATAAAAATACATCGTGCATTTTCATGCTGTATGCTATCATTTTGGCTATCATTTTGGTTATTTCTGAACCATACCAAGTTAGTTAGATATTAACAATGGACTTTTAATACAAAATTTTCCTATGAACGATTTTGTCATGATTTCTTTAAGTTACCAGAATATGGAAGTTATTTAGAAATTAATTTTTCAACATATTTTTCTTCATCAGATAAATTCTTATTTATATGCCTGTTTTGACCAACCATGTTTACACGCCTACACGCTCTTTAATAAATGTCTGTTTATTCATGAATAGCGTTTTATGCAATTTCCTGTTTACAACAAAGGTTTAATTGGGATCTGCGGCAATGGATTTTCTCTCGTGAATGTTAAAATAAATGAAGCAATATATGTCCATAGAAAATAAATGTATGAGGTTCCGAGTTTAATATGAAAATATTTAACTGTAATAACGAAAAGCATATGCTTAACACCTTTGTAAGCATTTTAAACTTCTACAATACCGAAGAAAAATGTTACAAACAATTCATTAGGTATTTGATAACCGTCAGCACTACCTTCTTAATCTGTAAAACTACACTGATTGACGAGAGAGTTAAACATTATCACCGACAAAAAACGATCAAAGTCATCAATCATAATATCTAAAATTAAAATGCCACACATGAATTAACGATATTGTACATGCTTTGTATACTACAAAACTACACACTTTCGCGCTTCCCTGATGGACGACGTTGAACTTATTCTTTGGACACCCGATTGGCTGATTCCATGCCCTATCCATGACGTCACAGTTCCCAAAGTAACTGCCCAAAACGTCTGTCTAGCTGTTGGATCAGGATCCAGGCTGTAATGTTAACAGATAGTAAGATTTATATAAAGAATATGTGTTAGGCAGTGTACACAGAAACGAATATTAAATAAAAGGATATACATTCCAACAAGAGTAAAACATTATCAATGTAAGTAGGTCAAACTAGTGTAACAGTTTTGTGCTGAAATATACAATATAAAGAAAGAATACTTACCAGTTTGATACTTTATTGATAGTGAAGTTAAGCTTATTGATTTATTTTCGTTCAAAATTTATTAATTAACCTTGAAGTGAACCGTGCTATTCAAAATCAAAAAAATCATTTTTTTTGTCCTCATTTCGGTGCAAATCGCCAATAATTATTATATTTTTGTACACGTTTTGTCTTCAGAAACTCGCTTTCAAATGCTTAATTTATTGATAATTTGGAATCTGAAAGGAATAACTTTCTAAATTCTGGAAAACAAATAATTACGCAATGAACCATTTGTAAATTACTTTAAAAACTGAACTCTTCCTTGTTCGGAACATGTTTGCCAGACCTGAAGAAGTCCTCCCGACCCTATAATACCCTGAAATATAAAACAAGCGTGAAATATAAAAACACGTATAATCATCAATTCCGTCTTTGCATATTGCAGAGTTATCTTCTCTTGGGAGCAGGGTTTTGAGAAAACGACGTAATTTTCTCACACAAACCAATGACGTAACAATCAATACCTGCTCCCAAGAGAAGATAACTCTGCAATACGCAAAGACCGATTTAAGAGACCCATATCATCCCCTGATTTATTAGGTTGCTGTTTTAAAATCTTCAGAATATGAGTATTCATTGATATTATATTATCCAGATGTGAAATAAAGACCACGGATGTCGTCAGTCTTTATGACATCATTTTCATGGGCTTGAAAATTTATTTATTTTAGAAACAGTGTTAATATCGATTTAACTTTGCATGTGTATTTACATTAACCAAAAACATGCTATATGTACATAGTGGCTACTGTAAAAATCCCTTTTTTCGCGTTGCAAAATTTTCACAGATTTGTTTCAATGTTCGATTTCACGGGATCCATTTTTGCGGATTTCTTGTCTAGTGGCTTCTGTACATAGCGCTACACTAAAGTTCGATTAAATTCCTTCTAATTTCATGGATTGAATTTTTTACGGACAATTCGCATTCCGTAAAAAAAGAAATAACACCGACAATAATCAGTTGTTTCAAAAGTACGAACATTTTTTTAATATACGGTAGATTACGTCTTCACGTTTATGCACTTAAAGCATCGACCACTAATTCAAGAATAACGCGAATTCCGCAACAAATATACATGCCGAATATTAGTACGAAGATGTTATTTCCAAACATAAATGGGTGCGGAATATAGGTAATCACAGTAGAATAAAATACAGGCGGACAACTAAGTAGCAAGTTAATCCATATTTACCGCAGCATTTTGATGAAAATTAGCGACCGAAAAAATAACAACTTTTGCAGTAAAATATAGAGAAATTATGTGATCAGCATGATGGTCTATTTGTAGTACTGATAAAGGTTGGAAATAACAAATGCCCCCAAAGCCTTAAGGTACATGTGCCCTCATTAAGCTAATGTGCCTCAACATGGAAATCAGAGGAGATATATATATAAAAAAAAAATGAAACCACGTCAATTAATCGCAAAATTTGTTAAGACGATACCAGCGAGTCTGGTAATAGATGAATGTAAGGTTTTGAGGTTAGGCGCGATGGTTTAACGAGTGCTTAATTTCTAAGATCGAATCCCGAGAGTTGATATTTCTATCTCGCATCAAACAGGAGTGATTTATCGTTTTTTCCCCACACTTTCTACTGTTAAAAATACTCCACGATGAAATAGTGTACCCAATACACCAAACCATTATTAATAGCGCAGGCAGTGCGTGACAAACGTGTATTGTGATATTGTAATGTTGTAAAAATTGATGGTGCGATGGTGACATTTTCAGTATAAGGGCAGATTTGTTTGGGCTGTCGTGTTCCCCTTAATTCAAAGACAGATATGTTTTTCCATAAAAAAATGAATACACTTATGACAGGAGAGAGAAAAGCATTTTCTGAGACACGTACGACAATCAACAACGCTTAGCCTGTTAATGTAGGTCATTCACTGTCGAATCAGTGAATATTTCTGTACCAAAGCGTGAAATGGTGTCCAAATGTCGACTAAAAACACTTCACCAGCTATACGATTAAAACCTTCAGAGATGAAAACATATCAAAATGATTGATCAACAGGATAATTTTATCAGTAAAATATGTATAGATTGTCACACTTTCATGAGAACAGATTTTTCATCTTGACGACGTGGATACAATTGAGAGGCCACCACAGTATTGCATTCTCATACTGAACAGCCGGGATACTGGTTTAAGCATGCTACCCGTATGCGATTTAATGACGTAAAACATCTTTATGTAGAAGATAATTATATTTACAACAGTCATCGCCTAAAAAAAAGTTAGTGTGGTAAAAAATAACATGTAGAAATATTGATCAGGTTATGCTCCTGAGCATATTTAAGTTTTCTCCTGAGCATTTGTAAATGTTTGGTTAACCAAACTAATATTCTCGTTTCCTATATTGTTAAAGGGAAGGTATCTACATGTATGTCAGAACTTCACCCACCTTCAAGTGAACTTAGACTGTAACAAAGGCATAAAGCCGCAAACAAAAAATACTTAGACTATATAGATAGTAATATCTGGCTGAAATGAAACGCACATATGGAAGTTGATCATCAGAAATTAAACATAGGATTGTCCTCAGTTGTAACTTTACCAAAAGGGTGTTATATCAATCTAAAGGAAATTACCTTTACCAAAACGACGGTAATTCCGGCGATCATGACGAGGAACTGGAAGACGTCCGTCCACACCACTGCTTTCATTCCACCCTGAATACACGAACCATTTTATATACTGTAAACATGGTAAGTTGTGTGTTTGTTTTATTTTCGCGGCAGTGTTTATATTGCAATTAATCCATCAATTTAACGGGACAGCAAACATTTCACCAAACATTTTAACCCAACAATTTAGAGCGGGAAGTTTGTTCTTATTTTTGCACATAAACAAACTTGTTTGTCGAAAAGATAAAATGATATTTTACAAAACAAAGCTTTATGCAACACATTGTCGCATTAGTCATTTTCGCTACATTTCGTCATTTCAGCTGTATTTGTCAACATTTGAACCGTTATAAAAGCGTTATTGGTACAGTATTTCAGATGTGTTTTTTTATTCAAGAAAACAACTAACAATAAGGATGAACAGTAAGATTTACAAATAGGTGACATAATAAAACATTTCCTGATGTTGTCAAGTTTCTTTGCGTCTAAATTTTGAAAATACACAGGAGGTTTAATACGTTTGAAGATCTTATAGTTTGTCGTTTGAAAACAAATGCAAAAGCAGAATTTGTAGCCATAATCCGTGGCTTATTGTGGCCGCGAGTATATTTACAACATTCGAAGATATTTGAAGTGTCTGGTTTTGTAAGTGTACGTGTAACTATGATGCGGGTAATTTCAGGTTATGTAGCAATTTTTTTCTGCATTTGGTATTTATGAGGCTTTTGTAGAAATTCAATACATCTGGGTGTTTTTTTAAGAAAATGTAATGGCAGCTTTTGAAACCATTTATTTTGAATGCGGCTTTAAAGAGAAACTTTAAAACAACCGACTTACAGTTTATGGCCCTGGTTTTATGGCTAAATTAACTATCGTATAAGGTTGTGCTGGAGACACATTTATTTAAGTGCATTTCAGAAATAGATACATTCGTCCACTTTTGAACGTTTCTACCAATGAAAATATCTTCGAATCCAGGGGTTACGTTCACTCTCGCTCTCTGCACGCCTGGAATATGCCAGAACATAATTGAAGGTACGTATAGCTACAAATGTAGCTATTTGTTTGGTGTCAGGTTTAAAAACGTGACCAATCGGATGCTAATAGCTGTCCTTTGAAGATTTACAGAGGAGAGACACCCTACTTCAAAGACAGTCAATTTAACCGTTACGCAACCGAGAGATTGTTTTGATTTAAACTAGTCTCATCGTCTCATCTGCGATGTGGGTAACACTGAGCCTTCGACTTTTCTATGACATTTTCAAGTGCAGGGAGGGTAGGTTAGAACAGCCCCTAGAGTATCGGGGATGTAATGAGAAATCCTTACTGCAATCCGGAGTTGTGTACGTGTTTATACTTACCATCATGGTGTAAAGCACTGCTACGGATGCTACTAAAGGTATGGAAATCCACACAGATAGGTCAGTCACTGTAACAGAACATGTCGTAGACACGAGGTCACATTTCCTGTACTGTAGTAACATGTAAGTGCACTTACCAATGATCATTTATTTTACGGTTATACGTTACATTGTACGATATACGCAAAACACGAAAACCGCGAAAATTATTTTTATGCAGTATTTTTTTTGTATCTATTTAACCTTGCATTGCTATTTTACCGTGCCCTCCCCCCCCCCCCCCCCCCCCTTNNNNTTTTTTTTTATATAATTCTATTTGCACGTTTTGCAAACTATAAAAGATCAATAAATTGTGAAACCTACCTGCTTCCAAAGCCAGAGACGGTACAAATAGGGCGATGGCCATGTACATCACCTAGTCAAATGAATCAATCAACGTCTATACAATTGTCTACCAGATAAACTATATTTACGTCAGTCCATTCAATACGCAGAGCGAGCCCGTACATACACTGCATAGTGACTGGCATTGTGATTAGCAAGAATGACCATAATCCATATAACGGTTTTTAGTATGATGATACAATTCGTGGTAATGATACTTGCCAACTTAGAAAATAAAACATTGGGGAGATTCCACGTGCTTAAAAAACCCACGTATGAAATATGTGAATATACCGTATAGCCGGTAGGTTAACAATAACACTAACTTAAAAATGGCTTCTTTGAGTAGTTCGTTCAGATGAAATAATGGATCTTAGAATAGAGAAATGGCTAGCAAATTTGCTTGTAAAAAATGCTCAAGTTCAGGCTCAATATTGGGAGTTTCCCACCTGGCCTCCAACATAGGGAGAGTTGGCAAGTATGGTAATAACTCACGCGGCCTCTCCCCGTCACTTCCGCCCATAAACAATGTAGTTGATCTCGTACCGTAAACAGTGAGCCTAACACACTTCCGGTGATCCTCACAGCACGTGACTGGAAACGGAGTTCGAGATACTGTAAACAACACAAAACGATAAAGGATTCAGGATGTGTGTGATATATTTATGAGTCTGCGTGTCTTTGGTGGAATAACGTTGTCACAGATTTATCCCAACAAATTAAACTTCTTGAAAAACATTTTAGAGATCATATTTATCTAAAAATTGACAAAATTAGTTCATCGTTATAATATGGAAAAAATAAATAAAAAAATATCACGATTTAAATTTTGAATCAATGGTTTATCTTTTTTTCGAATTAGATTATAAAAACGTTATCAAATTAAGACGATAACAGGTTTTATTTTCGTTTGTATAAAACAAGCCTATGACCTTCTGAGCAATAACAGTGCTACATCACTTGAAATGTATTTGAAAACATGTAAACTCTCACTTCTTTTTTACAGACTAGTAAATGAATTGTGGCCAGTACATGTAGCAGGTTTCCTTGTGAGTCATTCGATCCAGGAAGTAATATCTTCTACAGAAGGTTATCCTCGATACTCCAGGGGCTTAGAATATGTCATAACAAACTCGAAGGCTCAGTATGCACCACCTTGTGGATGAGACGAGATCTAGACGGCTGGTCGCGCAACAGTAATATCGACTGGCTTTGAAATCGGGTGCCAATTCTTTGTAATCTTCAAAAGGCAGGTATCAGCCTAGCGATTGGTCAGTTTTTTAATTTTTACCTGAGACCAATTAAAACAGCTTGCCGCGTGCCTTCAATTTTGCTATAACAAATTCCAGGGGTGCATAGATCGAAAGTAAGCATTTCACCCCTTGTATCGAGGATGTCAGAAAGGATAGGATACTTAAGATAAGTGAGCGGTGCTATGGTTAGACACATACATATGTTTACTGCCAAGACACATATCAGCATGACTAGATTAAGACACATATATGCTTACCTCATAGACACCTGTGAGCCGGGCTATGTGTAAACATGTACTTACCACATAGACACTTGTAAGCCGGACTATGTTTAGACACAAACGTGTACTTACCTCATAGACACTTGTAAGTCGGGCTTTGTTAAGACACAAACATGTACAATGTACTTACCTCATAGACACTTGTAAGCCAGACTATATTTAGACACAAACGCGTACTTACCTCAAAGACAATTGTAAGCCGGACTATGTTTAGACAAAAACATGTATTTACCTCAAAGACAATTGTAAGCCGGACTATGTTTATACAAAAACATGTATTTACCTCATAGACACTTGTAAGCCGGAATTTGTTTAGACACAAACATGGACTTACATCATAGACACTTGTAAGCCGGACTTTGTTTAGAGACAAACATGGACCTACCTCATAGACACTTGTAAGCCGGACTATATTTAGACACAAACGTGTACTTACCTCAAAGACAATTGTAAGCCGGACTATGTTTAGATAAAAACATGTATTTACCTCAAAGACAATTGTAAGCCGGACTATGTTTATACAAAAACATGTATTTACCTCATAGACACTTGTAAGCCAGACTATATTTAGACACAAACGCGTACTTACCTCAAAGACAATTGTAAGCCGGACTATGTTTATACAAAAACATGTATTTACCTCATAGACACTTGTAAACCTAACTATGTTTAGACAAAAACATATATTAACCTCATAGACACTTGTAATCCGGACTTTGTTTAGACACAAACATGGTCTTACCTCATAGACACTTGTAAGCCGGGCTTTGTTAAGACACAAACATGTACAATGTACTTACCTCATAGACCCTTGTAAGCCAGACTATATTTAGACACAAACGCGTACTTACCTCAAAGACAATTGTAAGCCGGACTATGTTTAGATAAAAACATGTATTTACCTCAAAGACAATTGTAAGCCGGACTATGTTTATACAAAAACATGTATTTACCTCATAGACACTTGTAAACCTAACTATGTTTAGACAAAAACATATATTAACCTCATAGACACTTGTAATCCGGACTTTGTTTAGACACAAACATGGTCTTACCTCATAGACACTTGTAAGCCGGGCTTTGTTAAGACACAAACATGTACAATGTACTTACCTCATAGACACTTGTAAGTCGGGCTTTGTTAAGACACAAACATGTACAATGTACTTACCTCATAGACACTTGTAAGCCAGACTTTATTTAGACACAAACGCGTACTTACCTCAAAGACAATTGTAAGCCGGACTATGTTTATACAAAAACATGTATTTACCTCATAGACACTTGTAAGCCGGATTTTGTTTAGACACAAACATGGACTTACATCATAGACACTTGTAAGCCGGACTTTGTTTAGACACAAACATGGACTTACCTCATAGACACTTGTAAGCCTGACTTTGTTTAGACACAAACATGGACTTACATCATAGACACTTGTAAGCCGGACTTTGTTTAGACAAAAACATATATTTACCTCATAGACACTTGTAAGCCGGACTTTGTTTAGACACAAACATGGACTTACCTCATAGACACTTGTAAGCCCGGCTTTGTTTAGACACAAACATGGACTTACCTCATAGACACTTGTAAGCTGCAAAGGATGGAGCACTGGAACAAACAGTACAGCTACTAGTATATACCCTGTTACGAGTCCTATAATTCCTAAATAAATCTGCGTCCCATACTGGTAAATCTCCACAGGTAAGCCAAGAAGGCTGATTCCAGACTGGAAAGTCACTAACAGAGAAATCGCTACAGGACAGAACGAAATCTTTCGATTTCCCACCAAGTATTCTTCCAATGTCTTTTGCTTCCCTCCTGATTTTGCAAAATATATTCCTATTGAAATTGATATCAACAAGGTAACACCAAATATTAGGAATTCCACATAGTGTAAAGTTTCCGCCATATTTTGGACAATACCTGAACGAAAGTTATACTTATGTGATTATCATATATATTTAATTCATCTCCTTGGACTGATCTAAGTATTACCGTTTTTATTCTAAATAACCGATTTATAGATATCAACGAAGATTTCAATGTAGATTTCAATGTCTACAGTACACGTATCACTTCGTGTTTAGATAACGCGGCGTCACAACCTAGTTTAAATTTAAAAAAAAAATATAAGTTAAAATCCTCTGTTACCTGTAGTAAACAAAGCGTGTAAAAGATTGCAGCGCCACCAACATTGCATATTGGTTACTTTTTTATAATTGTTGTTATCAGGTTTCAACTGAAATATGCATAACATGCGGATTGGCAGAGTGGTAAACACGCCTTCCATGCATGCGGCCGGGGTTCGATCCCCGAAGTCGTCGTACGCGTGGACTATTCAAAGAAAGTGGGTTTTTTTCTGCCCACACAACTCCAATAACCCAGGTGGAATATGAAATGCTCTGGGGTGGATTTTGCGGTATCTGTGTTGTGTCATTCAAGTTAGGTGGCACTATAAATGATACCGTTGGAAGCACGGTCCCACTACAAACAGAACACACTACATCTCCAGCACACACGCAGGTATACACACATAGGGAGATTATTAGCCAGTATTCTTCAAAAATTGATTAATTGATAATTGATTGATATAGTATGTAATGTATATGTTAAAAATATTGGTTGTATAAATTGTACAACTATGTTCCAGTAAGGCGCTTTAGAGTGGCTAATTCTAGTTAGATAGGGCGCTGTATCAAATCATGTATTATTAATATAATTATGCATAAGTATATGATCACCATGTGGATGTGCAGCAAATTTACTAAGTTATTTTTTATAAAATAAGTGCAACATACTTAAAAAATAATCGACTGTAAGTAATCAAACCCAAAATAACAAAATAATAATAATTATTATAATAATTCGAGGTTCATATATACCGCTTTATCACAACCTAGTTCGTAGGTTCCAAAAATATTATCCGTGGTTATAGGGACTTTTGAAACCAGCCAATATCTTTTTCAACTCCCTGGGGCGAAAACAGACGGTGCTGCCATTGCCCAACCATGTACTCATTTACAGCTGAGTAGACTGGAGCAAGCGGAGTAAAGTGTCTTACTCAAAAATACAACACAGTGCCATGCCGTGACTCGAACCCGCAACCCTTCGGTCACGAGCCAGGCGTCCTACCACTAGACTACAGTGGCTTTTTTTTTTTTTAAATATTCCAATGTTTTATTTTTATTTAAGATATTTTATAACAAAACGAAATATAGGCTGACGTTTTCTCAAGTTATTCGTTCCTTCATTTTCTGAAATTAAATTCATCAGTTTGGAAATATGTCATCAAAGAGTTTTGCTTTATAAACAAACAATGCATATACGTATTAAATGTGTCGCAACTTTTCAAGACCGATTGGCCCCTTTGTTAAGCTAATCGACTTGGCAAATAACAAAATATAGCAATGATTGTTTATTACATTAAATTACGCAATATTCACGATAACATGTTGATAAAGTATTTGTATGCCGTTTTTATTGAGATATGAAGAATAAGGGCTTGCACGAAGCTAAATTATATTAGCTGATAAAGCGAAAACATGCACTTATCTTTTGAAAATCATGATATACAGAAATATGAATGTATTTTAGTGCATATTGTATCTCAAAGTGATAATTTTTAATCCTGGGCCATTGATAATTTGTTTTCTAATTCATATTGTACTATTTTTATTTTTTATTTTTTTTGCTGAATCTTGTATTTCCAAAATATATCAAAATGTTACAAATGTGTTCTGATTTACAAAGTTTCTTTTAAAATACAGGGTTAAAATTACATCGGTTGCATATCCCATCACCAGTTTAGAGGAAACGAATCGACCTGTTGTATCCACTGCATGATCGTACAAGGTGACTAATAAGTCCAAAACTTCCCTTATACTTTGTTATAATTTAGATGACTACGGTATTGTGAAACCTACCAATAACGTGTGACTTTACATATAGTTATAAATGGTCATTCGTATATCTAGATATGTGGATATTCTTGTCACGTATTTTAACTTGAGACATAATTATATGCTGATCCACGTCTAAATTTAGTGTAAGCCAGCACGAGATACACTGACAAAGTAAGGGAGTAGTGCCTACGTTAATGCTGCAGTAGGTCATGGCCCACTTGTATAAAACATCTCAAAGTTAAGGAAAATCTCAAGCAATGTATTGTCTATGGACAATCTTTGACTTGAGGAAATCTCAAGAGTTGAGATGTTTTATACAAGTGGGCCATATCTGATAGACTTGATTTTTGGCAGAAATAAAGTTTAGGGTTACGTCATCATGACATTGGGGGTTTCATCAATATGGAACATTGTACATTTTTTCTTACTCCCAAAATTTTCTTACAAAAAGCTAAATGTACCTTCTCTATATCATATCCATTATGGAATCCCCATATTTCTGATGCATAACCAAGGATACTACTAATATATGTATCAAAGACAGAACAAAGCGTTTCTATATTTAAAGAATAGTTTCTTAAAGAGGACATTAGAGAAAATGAAGTGTTTCTGAATTTTTTTTCGAATTTACCATTATATTTCATCAGAACACCTAGATACTTAAACTCGTCAACAACTTGCAGTTGTTTGTTATCATATGTCCACCGTTCGTTGTTTTTTTTTAAATGTCCACCATTACTAAATACTATAATATTGTCTTTTTCTATATTTACCTCCAGATTCCATTTTTTATTGTAAACACTCAGACTATCCAACATTGATTGCAGTCCTTCTGGAGTTTTAGCAAGTAACACCATATCGTCCACATACATTACAAGAAACCTATTGATCATTTGTATTTCAATGCTGGGACAATTATCCTTTATAAGATTAATTTCAAAGTCATTTATATATAAAGAAAGCATTATTGGTGACAATAATTCCCCTTGTGAGAGACCTGACTTGTTAGGAAAGCATTGGCTATACTTATCCTCGTATTTAACGCATGACTTTACATTTTACAATATAGTCTTTTCTTATTTCTTAATGTCTTATTAATTAATAACAAAAATTGCATCTACAGTGGACAATCCATTCCTAAAGCTGAACTGCGCGTCTGTTAAAATACTATTCTGCAATGCTAATAAATACAACCGACTATTGGCATATACCTAGCAGTAAATCACGCGAAATGACATTTCATATTTTTTTTAATAGTATTTGCATCTGTTTCATATATGATTAAATAAATTTAAGATTTGTTCCGTCAAACAGAAGTATTAAAATAGCAGTATGTTTCATTTTCCAGAATAAGCAAAAATAAATAATTATCTTTTTTTCTGTATCTGATATCAAATCAAAAGGAGGCTTCTCCGATCTTGAAGACATTACCCAACCTCAAAAACCAGTTCCAGCATATGAGTGAACAGAATATTTCCATAACAGTTATGTTTCTCAAATTTGAAATTTCCAACACCAATTTCTTATAATAATTGTGACATTTCAATTTCACGGGAACAAACAATACACATCAAGGAACTAACCTGAAAATATGTCATTCAAAAGAACGGTAACAGTTTATTTTTCAAAAATAAACACCTATTACAGAATATAATGCAACCGTTATCAAAACCATATGAACAATGTAAAAAGCGACCTTTAGTTTAATTTGTATTACACCTTAGTGATTGACACCAAATACTTTTCTACTGGAGAGTCACTTCTCTTAGTTCAAGCCAGTTATATGCACATTAACAAACTTAAATATCAACAATTAAAAAACAGAAAATTGACATATTTCAGTCATGTTCTCTCCAAAAGTATTCTATTACAGTGAAAACTTTAAGGTTCTCTGTTACGAAAATTTGCCGCCGAAAGTTATGCTAATTTTTTTATTCTTTAAATTGCAGAATTTTAATGAACATTATTTTTGTGATCAAGATGAAGACAAATGGTATTTGTACGTTGAGCATCCGAAATTTTTGCAAAAGATTAAGGTAATTACAAAATACTAGTATTGATTATTTGTTACCTGCTATTGCAGGTGGAAAAATTATAGAAAAGATAAACTAATATCAGGTGAGCGCTAAGAGCCCGTAATGGGAATAGCAAATCGCCTTTCGTCCGTCGTCGTGAAGCCCAATACGCCGTAATTTGCCAATGTATAGAAATAAATAATACTAAAACAATTTCATAAAACTTTTTATTTATTTATTTTGTTAAATTACACATGAATGCCTTATATCATTGCATAAATTGCTCTAAAACAATAATATTTAAATTCTAAAACAGTTTAAATACAATTTGCTTACAAGAATAACGAAATTTATATTATTACAAATATCTTGATATCAGCCACAGGGGAAGCCACTCTGTGCATGTTAGTTGCATCAAGTGTTTGTTTTGTTAATCCTACAGTAGTTACTTCAATTAATCACATATTGACCATGTAAAAGGATCTGATGGTAATTGCTTTAGGCTCCAATGAGCGGCTGGCCGGACAAATGTGGGCTTGTCGTCCGGTCCCCCTCCCCACTAATTACAGGCCCCCTGTGGCCATACTACGCTATCGTGCAACTGACCAGTGGGGTCGTTGCTGGACTTGGGTCAGCCTTGTGATTTAATCAGTGTCAATTTCTTGTGTAAAAAGACCCCATTCAGTACAAATACTAAGGTGATACGGGTCAATTAAGCTGATACGACAGGGAGGATTTCAAACTGAAGCTGATACGGAGCCGTATCAGCTAAATGGCCTGGGGAGAACCCTGGACTCACTAACGTTACTGAACAGCTATTTCAAAATGTAGCAGACATACACATGTCTGGTTGAACATTTTACAAAATACTAATATTGTTTATTTGTTACCTGCTATTGCAGGTGGAAAAATTATAGAAAAGATAAACTAATATCAGGTGAGCGCTAAGAGCCCGTAATGGGAATAGCAAATCGCCTTTCGTCCGTCGTCGTGAAGCAACAAACGCCGTAATTTGTAAATGT